GTCATCGCAGACTTGAACTAGTGCCCTTGCCAAACGTTGTTTGAAAATATTCAAGCTAGTCATGACGAGAATTCGAATCCTGCACGACCCCTACGATCGGCTTCAAACCAACTAGAGGACTGGTCACTCCGCTGGCTGCTAGGTTGGTCACATATACTCGTGAAGGGTAAAGGTGTAAAAAAGAATACGGTATATGAAAATAATATATAGACGAAAAATAAAAGCCTGAGAATATTTAGGCTAGTACGGAGTATCTCGACTTCTTAAAAAAATCTTTTCAGTTTGCGCAAATATATATAGATGCTTGACCATTCCAATCAGTGAAAAGGAAAATTGGCAGCAAAGAATGAAAACGGCTCGGCCATGTGCGTTGAGGCGGAATCTGCCAACTGAAATTGTATGATCTGTTAAAAAAATGACAATTGATTTTCCATTTATCACTATTAATAATTCAAATTCAAATTCTACTTAAAATCAATTTACTGGCTCTTCATCTGCTGCCACATATGAATGTTCATGTGGCGAAAGGTTTGATCGTACGTATCTTCATAAAAGAGAAAAATTGCTCATAGTTTTATGTAAAAATGAAGGTGTTATCCTTGAAGTCCAAAAGTATCGTCTGAAAGCGCTTGAAAACTTTGTTTAAAATTTCTTTGTATCAATTAAAGTGTTACGCCGTGAGTGGTTCTTAGATATGACAAAATTTGATTTGTGTAGATAACATATATTCGGTTAACCTGAAAATTCTAAAATCGACGCTTTCCAAAAGAGTCTTAACTGACGTTTCGGCAATGCTGCCTTCTTTAGCGTACCAGACTAAATACGCGCGGTCATATGTGGCAAGCGCGCGAGTATGCAATCGGACACGTGAGCTACTTTTTAACGGTATTTAATAGTCTTGTACCTCGTGCCCTGAAGAAGGCAGCATTGCCCCACAGGTAGCCCAAGCTCGAAATATGAGCATCGGAGAGCATCGGTATTGTTGCGTAGCATTCGAAATATAGGGAATTGTATGGGGAAAAAACCTATCGTTTTTGTAACCTACGAAAATGGAAGGATTTCAATTAAAAACAGTTTACCTTACATAAAATGTGTGTTACGTCTCTCCTGTGTGTTCCATGGGCCGATTTATGGCCGTTTTATGGGTAACTCAACGGTTTTCTCTCTGTATATAAGGTTTACGTTCTAAGTACCTCCTAAATATATTGAAAACACTGTTTAGGCTATCCACAGTACTTTTAGATGTCTAGAAATGCCTTCTAAGCGGCGCTATCAAATTTGTATCTGTTCGGTCATCCTAGGGGGAACTTGAGTCTTTTCGAAGTTACAAGGGCTTGAGTATTATTTCCCGACAATCAATATGGATATTTGGAGGGCAACGCAGGTTACTTAGAGAAAGGCCAAACATACAAATTTATACGTCTGGAATATTTACAAATAAGCTTTATCCGCTCGCATTACATATTTTAAAGAACCATTGACCATCTTTAGGCCGTGTGTTGTCGTCTTTTCGCTGTTCTTCAAGATTCATTATTTAATTCTCAGTGTCTCAGTATTCTACAGTTCAAGTTGATTAGCATTCACGCGTCGAAATCGGCTCGCCTCTTTCACTTCTACATTTCGAGGATAAATAGCGTGATTTACAGAATGATTCGCTGAAAAAAGGAAAAACCCAAATATCCTGATAAGATATTCGCTCAAAGGATGAAAAAGCTCTTAGAAAAAAACTAATTACACTAGCGTGAATCTCCGAGTCTTCGTATCTAAATCTGAATTCTTCTGTTCATGACCACTGCTAGCTCAAAACTGAATTTTTAAATATAGCGCTAGAATGCAAAATACCCTAAGGGAATTTAGGGGACGGGTTACTATCGGCAACGCGGATATAATTTATAACACCGTGTTATATTTTGAATGAAAATCTAAAAACGAACGAAACAAACAATAAAATTTCAATGTGCAAAATGAAACTTCGTATCATTGATGACATCGGACAGTAGGAGTTATTTTAGGCATGAAAATGGCTCTTACACGCGACCCAGCATGCAAAGCGCGTAGGGGCCCTTGGGTATATAGTTATCAAAAATTGAACGTATTTTGGCTCCACTGGGGATTCATCTTCGTAGCATCATAAAGTCGCTGTGATAGTACTGCTTCAAGGTATGTTGCAACCTTTCTTTTAGTTCTTCTAGTTATTTTAGCCTATTAACTGGGTTCTTTGTCAAAAGACTTTGCTAACGCCGTACGATTGTACGCAAATTGAATTTTAAAACTGGCGAAATTGACTTACTCTCGAAGGTAAAGTACCTGATGCCGCCCTGTTCATTCCTTCTTAGTCACGTAATCCTGAATATAGCATTTATCCAATTTAGGGTACTATTTCGACAGAAAAAAATCTTTAGCAGCTAAAAAAATAATGCGTTTTACTGGACGTAACTTGTGTTACACTTGTGTCATACTTGATGTCATACTTGACATCCAACATTGTTGGGAGTTGTTGGCCAACAATGTTGCGTCCGTTTGCACACCCTGTTGCATGTTGTTGGATGTTGTTGCGTGTTGTTGCGCAAGGTTTGAAACCGGTCAAACTTTTCAGGCGACAACTCCCAACATTTCTTTTGTTCCGTGATCGCCGAAGCGAAGCGCAACAATGTTGGATCCGTTTGCACAGCTCTTCCAACATTGTTGGGGCCATGCACTTCAATATAAAACTAAAAAAATAGCACCTCTCTTGGGGCTTACCCCCCAAAACTTAAAATATCAAAAATTATGCCTATCTTCAAAGCTGACGAGGAGACCGACACTTCTAATTATAGGCCAATTTCATTATTATCAAATTTCAATAGAATCTTCGAAAAAATTATGTACGACAGAATGAGAGACTTTATTGAAAAGCACAGCCTATTATATTC